CGTTTGGCCATCGGTTTGGGGGTGGCGAGCCGAACTTGGCTTGAGAGATGAACCCCATGATTGTGGATGCTATCTATGAATTGCCCTCTTCTACTAGGCCTCAAAGCATTGCGCAAAGTACGAAATTGGAAAAACACAAAATGGTTAGTGAAGGGCGAAATCATTTGCGTACTTGAACGCAAACTAATAGTACGTAATTCATGTTGTTTCAAGAACTCTGACAACAGAGCCTCTTGAGAAAATGATTTTGCCTAAACAAATAGGAGATGTGTTTTATGTACATTCTCATTTATTAGAAAGAGCTGGCAAAATGTCAGACCAAGCTGGTGCAGGTAGTCTGACTGCTKTACCTGTTATCGAAACACAAGCTGGAGATGCATCTGCTTATTTTCCTACCAATGTAGTTTGGAAACTGAATTGTTTTATTGTGGAATCCGACCTGCTATTAATGTAGGATTGTCTATAAGTCATGTAGGTTCTGCAGCTCAATTGAAAGCTATGAGACAAGTGTGCGGTAGTCTTAAACTAGAACTTGCACAGTATCGCGAAGCTCGAACTTGGCTTGGGAGATGAGCCCCATCGTTTGATGAGCGCCAACCAAAAATCGGACATGAACCGAGTGTCGCGGTCGCAAACGATTCCCTTGGGGTAACCCTTGGTTGGTGAGTCGAACGACCGTGAGAATCCCATCCACTCCGGTCTTGTGCTTCGGGAACGGGACGGTAATGTCCATGGCAATCGCTTCCCTTCGCCGCAAGGGGACTGGTATCGGTCGCAACTCGCCGTATGGACGATGGTTGTGGGATTTGCAGCGTCGACAAACCTCGCATGATTCGCAATAGCGTGTGACGTCGTCGAGAGGGCCGGGCCACCAAAATCGCTTGCGAAGTCGGCCAATCGTGCGATTGTTTTAAAGTGTTTGGTGGCGGGAGCATCGTGGAACTCGCCAAGAAGCCGTGTACGCAAGTGAGAGTCACGCGGTATGCAAAGAAGGTCCTTCTCCCGTGTGTGGACAAGCAAGTACCCCTCTTGGATACGGTAGTGAGAAGGCGCCGGATTGGGAGAGGAGCAATTTGCGTACTTGTCGCGAAACTCGGGGTCAGCTTGATAGCCGCGAATGAAGTTGTCCCGCAGGTCGTCACCGATCTCGAAGGTCGAGTAGACTGCGGTACGATGATCCGGACGCCGTGAAAGAACATCCGTAAAATGGTTCGACTTCTCGGGAATGTGATCGGGAAAGAAGTCGAATTGGTTGATGAAAGCCATCCAACAGGCGATGGTGCTATTGACAGTATCTTGGGTCTTGTAGAAGACCAACGGATTGTTGTCCGGGAAAGAAGTCAAATTGGTCGATGAAAGCCATCCAACAGGCGATGGTGCTATTGACGGTATCTTGGGTCTTGTAGAAGACCAACGGATTAATGTCCTACCCATCGGAATTGACTTCGACCAAGGAGGAAATGCCGCCACAGTTTGAGCGCGTGGATGAAGGCTAGGAGCTCCTCCTTGCGTGCATCGTCAATGGAGTGCACGACGGGCACTTTCTTGTTGAAGTACTCAACCGGGTGTCAGTCCACGCCATCGTGTTGCTAGAGGACGGCACCAATGCCATAGCCGGACGCATCCGTAGTGACGCGCGTTGGCAATAGCGGGTCGTAGGTTCGCAAGACCTTCGCAGATAATAGCGCGGCTTTGAGAGCCAAAAATGATTTTCGTGCATCCTCCCCGAAGTCAAACGGTCGATCCTCGCATTGAAGCTTGGACAAGTGGGCCGCAATCTTCGAGTATCCCTTGATAAAATGTTGGTAGTAGCCGGCAAGGCCAAGGAACGAACGGACATTCGTGACGTTCCGCGGCTCCTGCCACTTTTGGATGGCTTGAATCTTGTCCGACAGCGGACTGATGTCGTTCGGTGTGACAAAATGGCCCAAGTATTCGAGCTCTTGCCGGACAAATTCGCACTTGTCGCGATTGGCTTTGTACTTGGCGCGGCGGAGCGTCTCCAACACTCGTCGAAGGTGCCTCATATGATCGTCCAATGTTCGACTATAGACGAGAATATCGTCTAAGTAGACCAGCACGAACCGGTCCAACATCGCACGAAACTCGTTGGTCATTGCCGCTTCAAAGGTCGTCGGGGCGTTGGTGAGGCCAAAAGGCATGACCACCCACTCGAAATGCCTATACCGCGTCTTGAACGCGGATTTGTAGCGATCGTCCGGTCGGATCGAGATTTGATGATATCCCAATTCCAAATCCAACTTAGAAAAATACTTCGCGCCGCCCAATCGCTCAAGAAGATCGTCGATGCGAGGAAGAGGCCTCACATTCTTGACGGTTTGCGCGTTGAGCTTGCGGTAGTCGATGCACAATCGTAGATCCTTGTTCTTCTTTCGTACAAAGAGAACTGGCGCTCCGTATGGTGAGCTACTAGGGCGGATCCAACCCTTGTCCAACAAGTCATCGAGTTGCGCGCGAAGGACCGTTAGCTCCTCCTCGCTCATGCGATAAATGCAACCTTTCGGCAGCACGGCACCGGCCTAAAAAATGAGCTCGTGAGAGATCGGCTGATCCGGCACCACACCGGTAGGTGACTCGAAGATGTCGGCGAACTCGTCAAGCAACCGCACCACACGGGGGTCCGAAGACAAGTCCGTAGGTGAAGAGTCGACTATCGCGACAGTCCGTAGGAAACATAGACCGATTTCGTCGGGCTGCTCGTAAGCACAAGTAGCCCGGAATGATTTGGCCGTCACCACTTGGCACCGAATCGAAGGGTGCGGAAGAGGAATAGTACACGGTACTTCGGCATCGAAAGCGTCGCTAACGGTAAGAGTCTGCCGGTGGAAGTTGACCGTGTGATCCGCACTTGCAAGCCAAGGCATTCCCAAAATAATGTCGAATTCCGTGTCCAAAATGTCGAATGTCACCGGTTCGCATGCATGAGGTGCGAAATACACCGGTACGGCCTCGATGTAGTGGTCGATAAGCTGCTGCGTCCTTCCGTTTGCGAACTTGGTCGTCGTCGGGTTTGCGTTCCTCGGAACTTGTGTGCCAAGGCCAACTTTTTGCATAAAGGTTTGGCTCATAAAATTGCGAGACGCGCTGCTATCCAGCAAAGCGCTGCAGGACACTTGCCCAACTTGGATGCGGACATAGAGGAGTGGTGCGTTGTTGTCGTCGTACCGTTGATTGCGAAACTCACGAACCACCTTGGTAACATACGCAAGGATGTCCCCCACCGCGACTTCGTCATCCGTCGACAAAGTTGGTGGTGCATAGAAGGATAAGTACATGTGAAGATGAGCGCATAACGCTGCGCATTGCGGTCCCGGCAAGCGGCCTATGGTCGGGAGAGGAAGCCATGCAAAAATCCTCGGACGTGAGCGGGTCCAATACCTCTATGTTGAACTCGCGCACCCAATCTCGTGAAGAATCACTTGAAGATGATAAGTTGCCGTTGTCGGACGGAGAAGATGCCGCACACACGTCTTGTCCTTGAGCATGAGTACCCAGCGTAGGAACAAGCCTGGCAGCATAGTCAAAAGAAAAAAGAAGAGGACTATCAATTTCCGCATGTGCCTCGGAACGAAGGGCGGTCACTGCGAAGTGACCGGTTCCGAAGGCGTCGAGAGTGTCGTCGACTTACTCCCGGCGGTGCTCAGTTTCCCGATTTGCCTTTGTCTTTCGACAGGAAGCCCATTGTCTCGTGGAGATCGCTGTTACACCACAGACAATAACGGAATCTCGTGTGTGCCTTGTATGCTTGCTCGGAGAGACCGTATTGGGACCATGGGGCTGGAACTGCTACGCCGGGCCCGGGGCTGGATGTGGTGTTGGTCTTCGTCTTGCCGCGTCCTTGGCCTTTGCTGGGGCGGCCACCTTCCCGGGCGGCTGCGAGTCTGTCCCCTTCATTGGCAGACACGACCTCGCTAGTTTGGTCGATTGGCGTTGCCGCCGCGACGACGACCACTTTCGGCCGATGCCGATCTCTGCTCCAGCCTGTCGCAGACGAACTGTGGAGGTTCTTAGCCTCCTTGTTCGTGACAATAATCTGCGCGGCCTTGTCGAAGAGCTCCACCAGTGTTGTCAAAGTGTCCTCGACGTGATTCAAGGCATTGCGCAACGTCGGACACGACCTCGAGATGAAGTAGTATTTGATGGCTTTGAAGCCCATTTGAATGTCTGGGACGGATGTCAAGCGTTGGTACTCGGCAATCCAGTCAACACTCGGCAGCGTGCCTTGTTCGAAGACCATCAGCTTGTCCATTGCCTTGATCTTCGGCCGCTCTTACTTGGAACCGCTTATGCCGCGCCGCCTTTAGATCATCCCAGCTGATCTTGGTGTGCAAGTCGGCAGCCACCACTCCGTACTTGGACAAGAGATTGTCCAACCATGCTTGGCACGCACCCCCTGACCGGGAGTATAAGTACGTGTGGTGCTTGTGTTCGCCGACGTGGTGGAGCCGCAACTTGAGCTCGAACTTGCGGAACCATGGAATCTGGTCCGTCTTCGTCGAGCTGCGAAAGATCTCCTGATCATCAAACCTTGGAGTCGTCTCGCGCGGTTCCGAGCTCGAGTGGGTGGCGGCAGTACAGATCTCCTGCTCCAACTGTTGCATTGCAGTTTGTTGTAACTGCACGTCGTCCTTGAGGGATCCGACGTCAATCTCCAATGCCTCGAGGCGATCGGAGGTGTTGGAAGAGCTGGCAACAGGGGCGGCGACGGTTTGTTCCAGCTGCTGGAGGCGGATGGTGAGTTGGTCAAACACCTGATTGTGTGTCTGAACCGCGTCGTCGAAATTGTGAATGTCCTCCTGTTGTGCAACATGTGGCCAGGAGGTCCGTGAGATGGGAGAGGAGTAGAGCGATCTTGTTTCCGCTCTCTTCCAACTTCCCATTCTCAGCCTCGGCCCGCCAGTCCGCTGCCATTGTGAGCAAAGCTCGCTCTCCGCTGAATATCTTCTCGGGTCGTTGAAGTCGTTCTTCATCGGCGGCCTTTGCTGCTGCCTCGTCTTGCTGGCGCTGCTGCTCAATTGCCAACAGACGTGCCTTCTCGGCGTCCTCTGCCTTCTTCTTTGCTGCTGCTGCTACTGCATCCGACCGTTGGTTAGCTTCGGTAAGCAGAAGCAGCATCCGGGCCTGATAGGCCTCGTCCGTTTCCCCGGACTTCTGGTCCATGACGCCTGTTTGTGAGCGCAAAAGCATAGACCAGGCCGTGGGCCTGCTGTCGTGGTACTCCCTGCTGCTGACGTGGCACTGTTGTCGGCTGACGTGGCCTGTAGACGTGTCTTGCTGACGTGGTCCGCTGATGTGGCCTGCTGACGTGTCGGCTGATGTGGCCTGCTGATGTGGTCTGCTGACGTGGCTTGCTGACATCGCAACTCACCAATGCCGGCGCGGAGGGTACCTGGAGACAGATGGAGAAGGTAAGACCAGAGGGGGCAACAACGTAGGTGGAAAGGGGTGGGTGGGATAATGCACCCAGACAAGGAGCCACTAATCAAAAAAGAAAAGTTTGAACTTTGCAAAAAAATTCGAGAAAAAGAAAAATTTACTCGTTTGCAAGTTCAGTAGGTGTTGCATACCGTATAGGTGCAGACCAGAACAAGAACCGACCTTTCAATACAAAGTATAAGATAGCACAGCGGAAGACTTAGATACCAATGATCCGAACAATCAATATTGCAATGCAGCCCCAAACATACATCATCATCATCATTCCATGGTGTGAAGGGGTCTGGCGCTTCACACAGGAAGACTGCGCCRGCCCCAACCATACACAGAYGAAGGAGATGGGGGTTAGACGAAGAAGAGGGGAAGATGGGAATGTCGTCAACACCAAGTGTTCAGCACAGGCCCAAATAGTCCCTCGTCGAAATGTCTGAATCCCRAAGGTCGAGTCTGGATCCAATGCCRTCAAGTCTGAAGTCACAACTCTCTCTCTCTCTCTAGTAGTCCGCTGATACTGAGAAGTCAGGTGGTGAGAGGGGAAAAAGAGATGGTGGACATAGAGGAGGAAGAGGAGGAATCTCTCTCTCTCTCTCTCTCTCTGTGTCCAGTACTAACCTGTGAAGTTGGCGCCTTGATGCAGGTACCTCGAAGATGGAGCTGGAGCTATGGCGCCACAGGTAAGTACCGCTGGCCTCCGCCAGCCATCTCCCTCCACTGCAACTACTACCACCTACTAGCGCCCAGCGCTGAAGACTACARYTATGGCTATGGGCRCCCAGCGCCGAAGACTACTACTGCCTAGYGCTGAAGAYTACTRCAGCGCTCCTCCTGAGTGCTGCGRCCGAAATCTGAAGACTACCGTCCTACTCTCCGACTGCCTACCCGTTCAGTGCCTGAAGCTCCTATGTACTATCACGGGTGCCTCCTGACTCGGGCGAGCAGTCCAGGAGGCTGCTCTTGCCAATAATGCCGAAGGGAGGCAGGGGCTGCA